TAGTCAGGTTAATTACAGGTTTCACCGATGGGGCTCCTGGTCGCTCAGCTTTTTGTGTGTGTGTTTGTGTGTGTGTGTGGTTGTAGACAATAGCAGAAGTGGGATTTCTACAATTAGTTTAATCAATTTTAAAAGTCTGTTTTCTAGTAGGAAGGTAACTTAGGTATCTTTAGATGCATAATTCAATTCTATATTATGTTTCCTCTCCATGCTAATGAGTGGTGCATTTTACAGGCTCACAGAGGAAACACAAGTGATTAAATACCAGGGATCTAATTCAAAGCGTTCCCAAAGATCTCTCTTTGAGAACATCTAGTGAGGATGAGCTAATTATCCTCACACGGTGTTGGTTCCTCTGCTGACGTGATTTTTTTAATGATTTTCTTGACATCCAAATGGAATCTGCCTTCCTGTGAACGTGATAACGTGATGACTCACTGCCTCTGCTTACTGTTTTCCAGGTGCGGCCCTGGTAGAGAGGAGCCGCCTGTCAAGCTGTGAGGCCCGGGGCTTGCCATATTGGGGCGGGAAGGAGCACGAGTGAAGGGGAGGTGTCGGGAACACCATAGTGGTGACCGTGGAGCACCGATGACCGGGGGTGCCAGGACGGCTGCAGCAGCACCGGAGGAGGCCTTACTATGATCGGCTCGGCTTGGCGGCCGCAGCAGCCACAGTGGAGCTCAGCTGAGAGGCGCGGAGGCGTGGCCAAGCGAGGAATGCACCGAGCAGCTGTTCCAGCCCAACAATCAGCTGGGCCGGAGCTTTGGTGCATGATAAGCACCAGGGCGAGGCCAGCGCAGAGGAGGCGTGGCTTGCCTATTTAAGGGCACCGGGAGATCAACTCTTGCTTCAAACAGACTTTACGAACTGCTGTTTTGCTGCTGAATGAACTCACTGCATGCCAGAGTCTGGCTGAATAAACCCAGTTTGAATTCAAGCGTGTGGTGTTTTTCCTACCGGTGTCAGTCCGGAGCTTGGACCCTTCAGAGCTTATTTTGTTTCTGGCAGTCTGGCTCAGTAAAACAACAACAACAACAACAACAAGTCTTCACCTTCTCCTTCATAACTTCTTTTGTAAATTCCAAAAGTGCTTTTCCAAAAGGCAACCGGACTTTCTTGGTTGTTGGGGGGGGGGTTGCTTGAAAACCTTTTGCTTCTCATCCAAGGAGTTTCTTCGGTTCTCATCCTTCTTGGATGAGGAGCAAAACGTTTTCAAGGAAAAAACGAAGAAAATCCAGATGCTTTTTGGAAAAGCACCTTTGGGGCAACCATGTCCTGGATGACTGAGAATCTCCATAGACATTTTTTTGTAAATCATTCTCACAATCTTCCCACGGATACCATCTTCCTTTTTTTTTTTTTTAATTTGATTTATATGCCGCTCTTCTCCGGAGACTCAGGAAGGCTTACAATGCGCTAAGCAATAGCCTTCATACTTTTGTATATTTATACAAAGTCAGCTTATTGCCCCCACAATCTGGGTCCTCATTTTACCTACCTTAGAAAGGATGGAAGGCTGAGTCAACCTTGAGCCTTGGAGAGATTCGAACCTGCAGTAATTGCAGGCAGCTGGTCTTAATAACAGGGTGCTTTAGATCACTGTACTACCAAGGCTCTTTAAAACAAAACCATCATCCCCTCAAGGTCCAGGCCTCTGGGTATTCTTGCGGCCATTTCTTGGTATTCCTTCCACTTTTCCCTAAACGTTTCTTAACATGTGGTGCTTAGATCTAGGCATAATACTCAACCCAATGAAGAACACTGACACACACAAACCTGATTTGGAAACTATCCCTCTGCATTTGACTGATTTAGCAAACGCGTCACACCGTTGACTCACATTTCACTTGTGATTAGTTTCCAGTTCCTTTTCACAAACGCTATTACAAATCGGCAAAATCAAGTGTAACCGCTGCAACCAATTCTACATGAGACAAACATCATGTCAATGACACTGGATTTTAGTATAAATTTTAGTTGTTATTTATTATTTTATACTAGAATTCTTAATTAAAAACTAGGATCCGCGAACACCGGCTGGCAGTCAAATGCCACGATCCCAAATCCTTCATCTCTACCCACACCAGCATCAAACAGTACCAGTTCAATTGGAGCAACACAAAAATCATTAGCCATACTACCACCCACCACGCTCATCGAAGCCTGGCACTCCACAAGCAATTCCATCAACAACAGACTTAAAACCAGCCTACGAACCTCTCAGAACAGTGATGGGATTCAAAAAAATTTGCTACCGGTTCTGTGGGTGTGGCTTGGCGGGCGTGGCTTGGTGGGCATGGCAAGTAAAATCTCCATTCCCACCCCACTCTAGGGGAAGGTTACTGCAAAATCCCCATTTCCTCCCAATCAGCTGGGACTCGGGAGGCAGAGAATAGATGGTGGCGGGGCCAGTCAGAGGTGGTATTTACCCAGGGGTGAAATCCAGCAGGTTCTGACAGGTTCTGGAGAACTGGTAGCGGAAATTTTGAGCAGTTCGGAAAACCGGTAGCGGAAATTTTGAGTAGTTCAGAGAACCGGCAAATACCACTTCTGGCTGGCCCCAGAGTGGGGTGGGAATGGAGATTTTGCCCGATATCCTTCCCCCAGGAGTGGGGAGGGAATGGGGATTTTGCAGTATCCTTCCCCTGCCATGCCCACCAACCCACACCACACCCACCAAGCCACGCCCACAGAACCAGTAGTAAAAATATTTGGATTTCACTACTGTATTTACCGGTTCTCCGCTACCGGTTCTCCAGAACTGGTCAGAACCTGCCTCAGAATCCAAATCAACTGCATAGCCAACCAGACACAGAACCAACCCTCAACCAACTCACACAATCCCCAGACACAAGCAGTTCACTTCCCAATTACTTTGACCTTATATAATCTCCTTATCAAAACACCCATCACTGATGACTCACAACTGACCCATTACAAGAACCCCCCACTTATCACACCCACACCTGAAGCCCTTATAAACAGAACACTGATACTGACATCCCCTAAACTCCACTGAAGATGTTACCTAGCCTGGTAACAAAACATCTGGAAACCAAGCAACCCATAAGCTTAGAGAACGAACCTTTACCCTCACACTATTACTACACCCAGCTTGTACCTCTCATTCTGTACTATTGCAACTGATGTCTTTCTCCTAAGTGAAGAACTTTTACATCCATCTCTGCTAAATTTCAAGCTGTTACTTTCAGCCCACGTCTCAAATCATCCATCTGAATTTTATTTCTCTCTTCTAGGGTAGTAGTAGTACTGTAGTAGCAATCCCACCCGGTGGGATGTCATCTGGAAAAACTGATAAATCATTCCCTCAACTTCTTCATTCAAGCCATCTGAGGAAATGCTGAAACTATTGGAAATTAGGAGCAAAAGCTGTAGCCTTCCTTTAGGACTTTACTCTCGCTACAGGTAGTCCTCGACTTATGACCATTTATGTTGTTAAGTGAGACATGGGTTAAGTCAGTTTTGCCCCATTTTATGATCTTTCTAGCCACAGTTGTTAAGTGAATCATTGCAGTTGTTAAGTTAGTAACACGGTTGTTAAGCGAATTTGGCTTCCCCACTGACTTTGCTTGTCAGAAGGTCGCAACAAATGATCACATGACCCCAGGACACTGCAACCGTCATAAATATGAGCCAGCTGCCAAGCATCTGAATTTGGATCACATGATCACGAGGATGCTGCAAGGGTCTAAGTGTGAAAAATGGTCACAAGCCACTTTGTAACTTTGAACGGTCGCTAAATGAACTTTGTAAGTTGAGGACTACCTGTCATTATTTTTCCCTTCTTTGCATATACAGACTCCACCCCAAATAATTTTTTTTTCAAAGGAACAGCTAAACACTGAAGAAACAAAGAAATGATGAACATTTGCGCTGAAATGGCTCTGCCAGTGTTAACAGCTATTGCTTCAAAACCAATTGGGCCCAACAGTATTGAACTGTTCCTAAACAAAGGAAAACAGGAAGGCAGGAAAATGGAAAATGGAAAAAAGGGAGGAAACTAATGATTGGCTGACAATTGATTGATTGATTAATTGATTGACAAATAGGCAGAAAGACCAGAAGGACTGTTATCGTGAGCTTATACCTTATCACTAAGTATTGTATCTTATGCTTTATGATGAAAGTATTTTTACGGTGTCTATGATCATGATTTATCACGTATTGCTCATATGTACCGGAGACAAATTCCTTGTGTGTCCAATCACACTTGGCCAATAAAGTATTCTATTCTATTCTATTCTATTCTATTCTATTCTATTCTATTCTATATTTCTATTTCCTCTTCTCTTCTCTATTCTCTTCTCTCTTCTATTTTCTATTCTATTCTATTTTCTATTCTATTCTATACTTCTATTCTCTATTGCCGTGATGGCGAACCTATGGCACGCGTGCCACAGGTGGCACACCGAGCCATATCAGTGGGCACACAAGCTCAGCTCCAGCACACATGCGTGCGCTGGCCAGCTAATTTTCAGGCCTTCTGGACCCACCAGAAGTTGGGAAACAGGCTGTTTCTGGCCTCCGGAGGGCTCCCAGGGGGTAGGGAAGGCCGTTTTCACCCTCCCCAGGCTCCTAGAAAGCCTCTGGAGCCTGGGGAGGGCGAAAAACGGGCCTACCGGGCCCACAATGCCATCACGTGCCAAAAGTGGGGGGAGCACGGGGTGGTTGTGCACGGGGGGTGGGCGCATAGAATTATGGGTGTGGGCACGTGTGCACGCAACCCCCCGCACTCCCCCCACTTTTGGCACGCGATGGAAAAAAGGTTAGCCATCATTGCTCTATTGTATCCTATCTTATCCGTTAGACCTGAAAGACTATGGCTTAGCAAGGATGGGGAACTACGGCCCTTTCATGATTGGGAGTTGAAGTCCACAAGTCATAAGCCATAGTTCCCCACCTCTGGTTTAGTGCATGCAGAAGCCACCACACTGAGAGAAACCGCCTGTCTTTAAACTCTTTCCTAGCTTCAGGTCTACCTGAGCAGCATCCGTCGGTGTTGCTGTGGGAGGCTGGGGCACTGTGGTAACATCTGGTTCCTGCGAAGTGCTGAGTTGGGCCGTATCTCTGACCTTTGTCTCACTGGTCGTCCCAAGGGGAGAAGCTGGAATTTCCGTTCTGGCTACAGTCGCCGTCGTCGGGGTTTCGAGCATCATCGACTGTGTCACGGCAACAATTGTGATCACAGGCAGCACGTCCCTCAGGGCAGCAGTTGTTGCTCTAGAGGTAACCGTTGTGGTGGAGGCTGTGGTAGCCATGCTAGAAGCCGTCGTAGTCGCAGTCGCGACATCGCGGGCTGCAGGGGTTGCAGTAACACCTACTGCTTTCCAGATGGTGACTGCTGGTGTTTCTGAAATCCTGGGAATGTAAAGACCGTTGGTAGCTGAATCGGAAATAACCTCCTCGGTAGGGAGCGGTGCCAAAGGGGTGGCAACTGGTTGCACAGATGTGACAGGCAACACAGCGGAGGTGGTAGCGAGGAGGATGGGTGAATCCGTGGTGAGCCGCACAACCGTCTTGGATCCGGGGTCCTGCTTGAAATCTGCAAGAGAGAACAGGAACTTCATCTAGAAAATAACAACACGGGGAGTCCTCGGCTTACGACAATTACAACGGAGCCCAACGTTTCTGTTGTTAAGTGAGACACTTGTTAAAGTGAATGTTGCCCCATTTTGTGACTTTTCTTGCCGCCATTGTTAAATGAATCACTGCAGTTGCTAAATTAGTAATCTGGTTGTTAAATGAATCTGGTTTCCACCCCATTGAATTTGCTTGTCAGAAGGTCGCAAAATATGTTTAAGAGCCTCGGTGGCACAGTGGTTAGAGTGCTGTACTGCAGGCCGCTTCTGCTGACTATCGGCTGCCTGCAATTTGGCAGTTCAAATCTCACCAGGCTCAAGGTTGACTCAGCCTTCCATCCTTCCGAGGTGGGTAAAATGAGGACCCAGATTGTTAGGGGCAATATGCTAACTCTGTAAAACCGCTTAAAGAGGGATGTAAAGTACTATAAAGCGGTATATAAATCTAAGTGCTATTGCTATTGCTATTTATGTGACCTTGGGACCCAGCAGCACTCATAAAGATGAACCAGTTGCCAAGCATCTGAATTTTGATCACAAGAATCATGGGGATGCTGGAAAGGTCATAACTGTGAAAAATGGTCATAAGTCCCATTTTTCAATGCCGTTGTAACTTTGAACGGTCACTAAATGAATTGTTGTAAGTTGAAGACTACTTTTACTCTACATTACCCTAAGGCAGGAAATGACCAGGAAATGCAGGTAGTCCTTGATTTATAACCGCAATCGAGCTCAACATTTCTGTTCCTAAGCAAGATGGTTGTTAAATGAGTTTTGCCCCATTTTACAACCTTTCTTGCCATCGTTGTTAAGCGAATCATTGCAGTTGTGAAGTTAGTGACACAGTTGTAAAGTGAATCTGGCTTCCCCTGTTGATTTTGCTTGTCAGAAGGTCGCAAATGGTGATCGCATCACCCCGGGATGGTGCAACCGTCATAAATATGAACCGTCATAAATATGCAAAGCATCCAAATTTTGATCACATGATTATGGGAATGCTGTAATGGACCTAAGTGTGAAAAACGGTCATAAGTCATTTTCTTCAGTGCTGTTGTATCTTTGAACGGTCACTAAATGAATGGTTGTAAATTGAGACAATTTGCAGTAGATTATTCAAGCTGATTAATATTATTAGTTATGCAGAGTGGTGTGGTGGCCTAGAGGTGGAGCTCTCACCTCACAATCAGTAGGCAGTGAGTTCGATCCTAGATAGAGGCAGATATTTCTCTCTCTCTGGGCAAAATGAGAATATATCTGCTGAACAAAACTCTGCATTGGCAACAGGAAAGGCATCCGGCCATTAAATGCTCTGCTAGCTCCATTCAGTTGCCCAGACTCCACCCCACAAGGGATTATGGGGTCGTTAAATGATTATTATTACTTATAACAACCGCAAGTGAAACAAAATACAACAAAGAGCTATCTTATAATATGAATTGGGAAAACTGTAGTCCTCCAGATTTTATTAAACCATAGTTTTCCCCCATAGCCCACACAGAATGCCTAAGAGTGACGGGTGCTGGCAGTTGTAGTTTAGAAGAATCTGGAAGTATGCCAGTTTTCTGTTAGATGTACTGGAAAGCACACTCCTAATCTGCAAGAGGTCTGCTCTTCATTCCTATCTGATGGCGCCCAAGTTCGCTTTTCGTTTTGCTTCCACTGAAAAACTCCATCTCTTCGAAATAATTAAAGTCAATGAATGAATGAAAACAATGCACTGTGAACTGAATGAAAATTAAACTATGGATATTAGCTGGCAAATCAGAGCATGGCAACTGCTCCAATTTGGTTTTTAATGGGCATCCCTGCTATTTTAGTCAGAATTAAATACCTGCTTTGATTTTTTTTTCCGTGTTTTTTGCAACCAGAGCTGAATAACAGCACTGCGATTATCTCCATGCTTCCTCGGAAGTCATTCTTTTCCATTCCGTGGAATTTACCACTTGTTAATCTTTAAGAGATTTATACTCTTGCAACACTCTTTCCCCCCCCTCCCCTTTAAAAAATGCAAATCTCCATGAATCCTAAGGCATCATTCAACGTTCCTTTAACCGGTTGAATTCGGTCTGCAGTAACAGCATGGAGGATGAGAATTTCGAAGGACTTTTGTGGGTGATAGGAACTCCACTCTACAATATTTGGACCCAAACAGTGGTGGGATTCAGCCAGTTCGGGCCGGTTCAGGCGAACCGGTAGTTAAATTGCTAGCTGGCCCCGTCCCACCCCGCCCCGCCCCTTCCAGGAATCTCCACGCGCCCCATTTTGGCTCCCAGGTAAGTGCAGGGAGGCTACTAGGCCCAAAATGGGGCACGGGGAGATGGGGTGTGCCCCCCGCCACGGCCCACTTTTGCTCCCAGGAGGCTGCAGGGAGGCTTACTAGACTCAAAACTGGGCTGGGGGGGGTGCCTCCCCGCCCCCGTGGCCCGTTTTTGCTCCCTGGGGTGTGCAGGAGGCCAAGTGCTGCCTGTCACACCCCCTGGCCACGCCCACCATGGCTACACCCACCCAGCCAGTCTTTAGGGCAGAGAACCGATTGTTAAATTATTTGAAGCCGACCACTGGACCCAAAGAATGCAAAGATGTATCAGATCCAGCATCAACACATTTCTCGGGGATCTTCAATGGACACAGCCAGGATTTCAGCTCATTGTTGTGGAATTCAAACAGTAAAAGGGGTCAGTTAAGCTTCAACGCTCTGCTCCTTCTCTGGTCAATAAAAGCAGGACTGTTGGCCCTATCTCAGTATGTTTCAGGGAGCACAAAAATTGGGGAAGGGGCTTTCCACAGGTTGCCTCTTTACACGTATTGTGTCAAAATTCACACTCAGATTTCCCCAAAGCTAGCTTCCTCTGAAATAGGTGTTTCTGTTTTAAAAATGCTTAGCATTTCTTGAGAACTTTTTCCAGTGAGGCAATGGGGGGTGACCAGAATCGGTTGATTGTTGTGAGGGAACACATGGTGCTCTGGGATATGTGTGCGTGTGAGAGAGAGGGTGGGGTGGAGCGAGGGATGGGGAGAGAGAGAAAAGGAGAGGGAAAAAGGGAGCGAGGGAGGGGGA